TTAGCAGTATCTGAAATTGAGTGGAGAGCTGCACTGTTATCAGACTTGACTCATAAGCACTGCTATTAATCAGAGCTATGATAGCATTTATATATTTCAAGCTATCTGCTGCCGCTGTGATATTCTGCTACAAAGGGTTGATGGGACTTAGGAAAGTGAACAATAGAGCTTTCTGGGAAAAGCAGAGTAAATCAAGAAAGTCTATGACTTCCGCACATTCTGAAGGGATTGTGGTTTACATAAATTTTCTCCCAATTGGAGATTGAGCTCTTCCTCATCTTACACATGGGATTTAGTTGTCACTCAATGGTAACAGCTGTGAAAAGGTGAAGCGGCCCACCGCTCAGAATATTGCCTTCGCTTTTAAAGCAATTAACCCATGAACAGGAGGATACCTGGTGATATCAAAGGGATTAGGCCAGGCAGTGCATTATTAACATTTCCTTGAACTAATTCTAACTCTGACTAGCTGTCAGAAAAGACTCTACAGTCTTAAAAAAGAGTTTTGCCCTGCTTTTTTCCCTTCAAAATGAAGCGCTGCTATTTGAGCCTAATATGTCCCTCTACTTATAAGAAAATGCAAATGAACCAAGCTCTTAATATGCTTAAGCAGTCTGAGTCAATGCAATTTTAATACAAGTACGAGAGAAATATATGATCAATTAACCAGGGATCAAGACAGATATTCTCCTGAATGGAAATTAATGCTCCAGTACTTTCCATTCTTCTTCAACTACAAAAACTTGGTGACTATTTGTTACTTATGCATAGTTACTTCTGAAATTAGGAAGAGCTTCACATTATTCTCTCTGGCAATAATCTAAAATACTCTTTGAGCTGGAAAATCCAAATGTCCCTTAAGCAGGAGATTCTGCATTCTCTAAGGTATGGCATTTTAATTTTCTATTCTTTATTGAATGGAATCTTAAGCTATAAGAATAGCAGACACAGTGCTGAGAATCAAGTTTTCACTTTCCAAAAGTTTAGCCAAATTAATTTTTAGCAGCAACATAATGTTTAGAAATATATAACTTACAAAAATTACAAAATCCATAAATAAAATACTGGCACAAAACAGTCTGCCAGAAGATATTTATGTATTATTGAAATTGATCATAAGTTCTTCACAATAAGCAGATGTAGTTTCAATACACCTTTAATTATTATTAATACTCCTATATTCTAAGTAACCTACCTGGCATTAAGAGATCTGATGTCTTACTGTGCAATGTTAATGGTGTTAGAAAGTGTTTTTATGCAAGTTTCCTGAAACTGTGCCTTTTAGAAAAAATATTTGAAAAACTGCTTATTTAATGGTTAGTGACTTTGTGTTTCTTTAACATAAGCACAGAATTTTGATTATAAAAACTGAGAGTTTTACTTTCAATTCACATGAGTGCTCAACAAATATTGTTAAATAAATTCTTCTACAGTTTCATTTGGCCCGCAATAGTTTGAAAAGGACATGCTGACTCTTAAGCCTGTTAAGAATAAATTCCCAGTCCTGTAACTATCCAAATAAATGATACAAGATATACCCTCACCTGATATTATAAGCAATTTAAATCTTTCCTGAGGTAAAGAATTTTTGTACAATGCTATCAACATACTCCCTTCTCTTTTAGTGATACCAGAACATATGAAGGGTTAGCATGTAGATGTTTAATGATAGGTGACTTTAGTACTCCTTCACTATTCATTTATTTAAGATCTAGTTTGATATTTCCTAGAAAATAATTCTGAAATTCAAGTATTAAACAATGTTATATGGTATTCATGTTAGTGATTTACATTACCTATAACTTTTAAATTTTATATTAATAGGATTTGTGAATTTCAAATAGAATAAGATACTTTAAATATCATCCTACTAAATTTAAAAATCATTTACTTCAATAGCCTTAAAAAAGAAAATCCTAGTTCCTATGAGTCACTAACTATATTATAGTCTTAAAAACACAGATGTACCTATTAATAAAATGAATACTATTTCATATAAATGAAATGTATTAAACTCCCCTAACATAATGCATGCTTAAAAATACCCCTGAAGGGGACAATACATAAATAAATTACATACAGAAACAATTACCACAAACTTACTATTTTTAATTCAATAAACTACAGTGACACATACAGCTTTCAATGTGCTGTTTTACTCACACACTTTGTACATTAGAGCAAAGCAAATATAAATGAGTTCTTGCCAACCATTAGGAAAGACTGACAAAAAAATGCAGTGTTAATGACATCTTACAGCTTTTAAAAGCAAGAGAAAGATGCAAGAAAAGCAAAAATTACATAGTAATTGGAAACAACGAATAAATTGTTCTTTCAATCTAAGTCATGTTTACTGAAAAAAATGGAGCTTTTTACATCAACACATTTAAACAGAAATTTGCTTTTGAAATAAAATCCTTGTTTAAAAGGTACAGAAGGTCTTTATGTCCACCCCAAGAGCTAAATATAGTGAATGCTATGTGAACAATTACCTGAAAAAAACCTAAACGTGTTAAAAGAATTAATTTACTGCACACCAGTCAGCACTAATCCTACATGTACAGTAATGTTCTCTTAAGTGATGGAGGAAAGAAAGAATAAAACTGTTTCCTGGATCAAAACCCTTCAATATTCAACAACAAAATGGAATGATGATTTGGTCTATAAATGAATAAAGTAGTGAAATGTTGCCTAAACAAATTCTGATAAAGGAGTCAACCTGTAAAGGAATACATTTACTGTATGCTGGGACAGGA